AAATCCCAGGCTCGGATTGCGGGGCCCGCAACGTTGAAATCTGCACCGCAGCTTCGATGACGCATGCGGAGGGGCAAAGAAGGCGAGCGGGAACGTTTCCGTGGGCCGGAGAGCACCCCAGGTCGACACTCACTCACTCACTCAGTGTGCTTCAATGCCTTCGAAGTTTATATAGTGCTTAAGGTAATGATTACGGCTGAGTGCAGGGTGGAGGTTTTCCACCAGAGTTTTCTGACTCTGATTTCAGCTGGAACCCTCCCTCAGTAGTCCCCCGGGCAAGCTTAAACTTTGGCTTTGAGCGCCCCTGAGGGCGTCAGAGCGTCGACCCAAAACGCAGACGGCAGCACTTTCGTGCCGTCTGGTCGAAGTCAACAAACATCACGAAGAGGATCGACGCCCTGTCGACCTCGAAAACGAGCACCGGCTCATGGATTGGGGCTTCTAGTGGCGGAAACCACGAGACAGCAGAAGAAGGCGTTAAGGCGTTCGGCTGTTCAGAAGAATGAAGTCTCCCTATTCAACCAGAAATACACAAGACTGACTTGAGGCTCAGGGGTTTATGTGGGTTTACATGATTCCAAGGAACGCACTGGCTCTGAAAATCCCTAACCCTCAAACCCTGAATCCCAAAAGTACAGGTACAAATCTAAAGACAGACCCTGAAACCCAAGTGGATCTTGGTTAGGAAACCCTATATAGATGTTCAGGCACCAGCCACCAAAAACACCCACCCTGAACTTAATCTGTGAAGTCGGACAGTATAGCAGTGCTACGACAGAACGCAAAAACGCTGGCAGTGCCGATGATGTTCAAGAGGTGAGTTTGTTCAGCCTTGTGAGGAGATGAAGTGTGTGAGGAAAAGGTCGGTGCGCAGCGCCCATTTCGTCACTGCAAATCGTCGTTAGCATCGACATCATCATCACTACTATCATCATCATCATCATCATCATCACCATTATCACTATCACCGTGGCTGTCATCATCGCTATCATCGTTGACATCATCAGCGTCGACGATGATAGCGACACCGTCGCTATCATCGTACCATCGCTATCATCGTGGTCATCATCACGATCGTTAACAGCAATGGTATTGTCATCATAGCTGTCATTATCGTCATCACAATCGTCAGCATAACCGTTATTGTCACCGTGGATGTCATCATCGCTACCATCGTCGCTAGTATCGTCGTTCACCCTCGCTGCTGTCACCGGGCCATCATCATCGCTACCATCGTCGTTAGCAGCATCGTCGTTTTCAATCATCGTCACCACTACCGTTATCATCCTCGCTATCATCGTTGTGACCATGATGCTTATCGCACCGTCAGCATCATAATTTCGATCATTGTCAGCATCATCGCTATCATCGTCGTCAGCATCGTCGTTGCCATCATGGATATCACCATCGCGATCACCATCGGCATCATCCTCATCATGTTCGTTAGCAGCCTCGGCAAGAACGTTATCATGACAGTCCATCGCCCCGATCTCGTCATCAAGTTGTTGAGTGGTGGGTTTTTTGGTGGCTGGGAACTATATTAGGGGCCTCAAACCCACACATGTTGGGCAACTGTGTCAAGCCCCATAATCCTATACTATACCCCTGCGACATCTCCTAGATAACCATAAACCCTAACCCTGAACCCTAAACCATAAGCCTGCACAAAGGGTGAGTTTGTTAAGTGCGCACAACACTGAAACCGGGTGAAGCGCAATGCAGCTGCCATCCAATCTACGCATCCTTAAAGGGTTCTAGAAGGGATCTATAGTAGGGTTCCTTTAAAGGGATCCTTAAAGGGTTCTATAAGTAAGGGGATCTATAGTAGGGTTCTATATTAGGGGCTTTAATAGTTAGAATAGGGTTTTTCAGGGTCCCGATTTGCAGCAAGTCCAACTTCATAGCACTGCAGCAATGCATGAGGACTTCAGAAGCAGTTGCAACCCTGTACTGCAAAACAAGCCTAAGACACTCCCACCCCGGAACAGTTCTCCACTCCGACCGTTTTCCTTCCCAGATCCTACACACAGCACCGAACCTATAGCCCTGAACCTAAACCCTCAGCCTACACCTTCCTACTTAAACCCCTTATGCCCTCGGCCTAAACCCCTGGAACTCAATTCCGCGCACGAGCTAGGCAGGCGGCCTTCTCTGCAATGACCGAGCCGCGAAGCATGGGCACAATGACATGCACAGGAACCTGACGGTGGCAAGGCCTAGGGAATATGTACCCGTACATGTATAGTATAACAAGCATGAAACATAGGTAGTATAACAGGTATATGCTTGTGTATAAGTCTGTGCGTACACACGTACTGTATATATATATATATATACACATACACACACGCAAATACACATGTACAGAGCTATGTGTGTATGTGTGTACATATATATATACACACATGTGTGTGTGTTACTAGACATGTCATTCTGTAAGATAGCATCTTTGATGCTGCTGGTCACTAATGCTATGACGTCTTGCAATCTAGTTTAAGACGTGCCCCTCGGACAGAAGCACTCAACCTCAAAGTCGGGCTCTCTAAAGTCCTAAAGCCTATATATATATATATATATACATATATATATATATATACACATACAGATTTACATACACACATATACAGATGCATGTATATATACAAATTATTTGTATATAATTATGGTGGATTAGGGTTTAGGTTCATGGTTTTCGGCAGGGTTCAGAGTCAGAGCATTGGAAACCCAGATCCCTCCATCTTACCCTAACCCGCCAGGTACCTACTATATAGGGCCCTAGGGGCTCTAGTACCCCATATAGTAGGTACCTGGGAGGTTAGGGTTAAAGATTAAAGCTCTTCTTTAACTGCGGGGTCGCGGTGGCTCAGGGCGCTTGGTGGAGTTCCGGTTGGTGCCCATGCCCCCTAAACCCGAAACCCTAACAACTCGACTCTAAGCCAAAAGCCCCGTAAGCCCCAAAGCCTTCAAGCCACTTGGTTAAGGTTTAGAGTTTAGGGTTTACTTCTTCTGCAATGCCCTTCTGACTTCTGGGGAGAGGGCCATGACCTCCAAGATGCGGAAGATCCGTTGGGTGGCCTGTCTAAAGAGCGAGGGAACCTTATGTAATGTGATGAGATCTCCTCATTAATAACCCCCCTCCAAGCAACCTGAGATCCGGAATAGTGGGAGGGCTTTTTTTGAACTGAGATTTTTGAACTGAGATTTGACTTGTTTGGGGGGGGGCTGGGGTCTAAGTTGTTTGGGAGCCGGGGCTGTCGGTAGTGGTACATTAATAAAAAGGTTGTATTACAGTAGTAGTACAGTAGTACAGCCGTAGTATAGTAGTAGTACAGCAGTAGTACAGTGGTACGGACGGGACTTTACGACTATTGAGGGGTCTTTATCATATCCACTATTGTGTGCAGGGCCGAGTTTAGCTCTACTGAGGGGACCTTTATAATCACGACGTCACATTATGTATGTGTGTGTGTGTATGTCTGCATATATAATTATATTTGTTAACTGTTCTTCTAAATACATATCTATTTATATCTATATCGAGACAGGTTTTTAGGCCTCCATATCCGGCGTAACGTCAGCACGGCGAGAACCCTAAACCCTAAACCCTAAACCGTGGCTCTGTACCACGAGCTCCGAAGTCTTCACACTTTACATCCTTAGGCCAGCGTACGCCGGGGTATAAGTCATCCTCTAAGCCTCTAACCCCTCAAAATTCTAGACCCTAAATGCTCCGCCTTGCATGGCAAACCATTGTCCCTACACCAACTCTCTCTATGTATACACACGCATATATATATATATATACATATATATACATATGTATGTATGTATATGTGTCGTGTATGTTAAGGAAGAATATACAAATACAGATACATATATATATATATATACACATATAGGAGGCGATCCTCAGAACTCACAGGGTAAGTTGTTGTGTTTGACCTTACAACATCTTACCACGAGCAATATCCCTGACTCCTCTACAACTATCTGCCTGAAGGTTGAGTGTTCTGGTTAAGCTTCAAGTAATACCTACCTGAGGAGTCCTAGTCTGCTGTTCTAAGGGTCCTGTTTCGGAAGATAAACATAGAAAAGAAGTAAATAGCAGTAACAACAAGAATGATAATAGTAGTCGTACTAATGATTCAATGATAATAATGGTAGTAATTGTCGTCACACCACTTCTAACCACGATGAGGATCAGATTACTATTGGCAAACAGAATCAGATTCAGACTAATGGCAGTACTACCAAAAACCATATTGATAACAATAACCATAAACAAGCAGGAAAGGTTAGGGGCTCCCCAGATCCTGGGTAAGCTCTCGGCACCCAAAGTCAGCCTCCCGCTGCCGGCCATCGTAAATGAATTTTGTCCGCTGGCCCTTCCTGGCGAAACAAGACTATACTGTAATATAATATACTCTACTATACTGTTCCGTGATATAATGTAATAGAGTACAGTACAATCTCAGAAACATATGGGGAGTTGTCAAAATTAGGATCCCTTCTGGGCTACCCTAAATAATAGGTGCCGTATTCTAACAAGGACCCAAAAAGGGACCCTAATTTTGACAACCACCCATATACAAAAAGTAGAAAAACCCTAAACCCTAAACCCTAAATGCTTTATAAGGCAGACAGCCCAAGCTGCAGCTTCAGGGTTCTCATGGCAGACCCGCTAAGAGTGAACGTATTTACTCAAGCCCTTACGACCTTAGGGTTACGAGTTTTAGGGTTAAGGGTTCTACGGTTTAGGGTTTTATGGTTTAGGGTTTAGGGTTTTAGGGTTTAGGGTTTTAGGGTTTAGGGTTTAAGGTTTGGGGTTTTAGGGTTTAGGGTTTAGGGTTTAGGGTGTGAGGTTCATACGACCCTGCGCTCTTCAATGGTGGGAAGTTGTGGCACAGAGATGGGTCGGGGGCCTAGGTTTAGATTTAGGATTCAGGGTTTGGAGTCGCAACTCAATTTCCAAAAACAACAAATCCTAAACGCAAAACCTTACACCGTCCCCGGGCGTGGATTGCGACCCCGGAGGCCACGACCTGGTACCCAAACTGTATTATCTGGGCATTCATTGGATTCATTCGGCCTCCATATTTTGTGCGAGGTTTCACACTTATTGTTTGCAGGTTTTGGGCAAGGGCCTTGATGATTAGATCTGAGGAAGACGATGGCCGGTTGTCCAGAATCCAGAAGTCTGTTTAGCATTGGTGAAACTTGGGGGCTTGGGTTCTTTGAAGGGGTTTGGGTTTAGGCTGCATGCGTCACACCCCTTTTTACTCTCAAGTGGTCCTACCTACGCTCTCCAACTTAGGTCCTTTGGCTGATCCAGTGTTTGGTGTGGAACCTTTAATGAACAAGGTAATCTAACAAAGGGCTACAATGGAGGGCATGAGCGGTGCTCAACTGTCACATGCTCAACCCTGAAGCATAAGCACAAACTCAAACGCTCAACCAACCTCATCTTTCAGACTCCGCACCCTCAAGCCGAAGCATCTCAGCGCGACTTGCGTGAGATTTTAAAGCAACTTTCCAAGGTGGCCGGTCAACACGGGAACCATGGCATAACTCCTCGCCGGGGCCGCTCGATGTAGTACCTTTCGGACACAGCAGTGTCGAACTTGTGGTTTCGCGGTTACTCTTTGAATACTACGTATGTGACTACTACAACCTATTTCTTGGTTGCACGGCTCCGCTGCACAATCCTTGGGGGGCTTCCACATTCTGGATGTGGTTCAGGCTTACGGTACTCCGGAACCGAGTCATGCGTAGTGCCCTTCGTCCATGGTACAGGCTTTGTACAAGTACGTAAGGACTACACGGGGCTTCATGTCTACCTGGAGCCCCAGAAACCCTGCAAAATAGCGGGTAGTGACCCCATAACTGTAACCATAAGCACTCTAAGACTCTAGGGATGTCGTGTCGCCTTTCAAAAACAGTATGGTGCACCTTGGGAGCCTGAGGTCTCCAGCATGCGGGTTGGAGAGGGTTGTGTAAGGGGTTTCTCACAGGATACCTACTGTTACGCAGAGGAAGGTAGCGGTTTCTACGTCAGGAACTGCTTCTGTGGTCTGCGTATACTTATAACCCACATTGCCGGAGGAGGTGGGGTGTCGAGCTAGAGTCGATAAGTTTGGGTCTTGGGTTTAGAAGGTCCTGAACTTTGCTGGAGCCTGCAAAGCCCCTGCACCATCGTGGTGGACAGTGGGGTTGCTCGAAAGTCATGGCGTTTTGATTGAAACGACCTAGTGACTCTAACATAGAGGTCCCAAATAACCATACTAGGGATTTAGGCCATCTTGTTCTATGATCACAGGAAGGAATATCCAAGGAAACCCCAAGTAACGGTATTACTGGCTCCTCAACTTCCGGCCGGGAGGGTTTAGGGTCTACATAGGGCTTCGGGCCACTTCGGCCTAGCCCTTCGAGCCAAGTTGCTTCCGGCCCACGGCGAAGAGGTTGACGCTGAAGAGGAGCAGCGTAATGCTCAGAAGATCCCAAATGTCGTGGGGCTGCGCAGGGGTGTCTGTTGTCTTGAGTGTTGAGACAGGCTTTGCATCCAGACACTCCAATATACTCAAGGTATCTCCCGAGCCAAAGGAGTTTGGAAGGTCTGGGTAAGGCTTCTATATGGGATTGAAAACGCAGGCATCTTACCTCTTGCTCGGCATTGCGGATACTATCTGAAATGACAAATTAGTCTTCAGAACCCCTTGTCGCTGGCTGGTAATCCCATGCTCTCGAGCTTTCAGAATGAAAATATCGATAGTCTACCGTGACTGTTCGGTGACCTCAAGTTCCACATCGGGCGTTGAGCTTTGGGTGTGGGGTTTGGTGACTTGGGCTAGAATAGGGTTTTGGAGGCTCCTTCTTATTTTTGTATAATATACCCCAAACCTATTCTAATTATTGAGGCCCCTACATTATGGTTTAGGGATGTTTAGGGATTGAAGGCTACAGTAGGGGTTCAAGGCTTGGGGCTTGTGAGTCAGAAACGTGGGCTATACGGAGCCAAGGCTTAGGGATTCTGGGATTTTTTGGGGTTTCGGGATTTTGAGTTAGGGTTTAGGGCTTATAGGGTTGAGCATTTAGGGTTTGGGATTAGGGAAATAGTGGTTTATATGGACCTTCTTGGTTACCAAAGCTTCGCCCCGCAAACGTCGGCCTCTTTTCCATCCTTGTCGAGGATCGGGTAGTAGGCTCTCTGCAAGCAGGCCGAACCTCTCAAACATGCGCCACTGCAGGGCACTGGAATTTTCTAGGGTCAGGTTGAACTACAACCGACCATCCCCATCTCTACGGTTTTGGGGGGTCGTAAGACAAGTGTAGCTACACAGGGACTTTTAGGGTAATTAGGTCACTGCGAAAAACGAAGTACTCAGATCTGCAAAAGGTTGCATACCAATTATGATAGGTTGGAAAACTATAAACGCCTCACAGAGGTGGCAGCTAGAGATGTTTGAGGCACGTGCAAACTTTGCTGAACCTAGCTCATACAAGAGGTGCTTGTATGACCCCGCGAATGAACGTAACGAGAAATCCGAACCACTCGCTTAAGCCACTGCCAGATATACATACACTGAAATGTACGGAGTCGCAAAGCGAGCCACAATCGATTGAAGCAAGCAAGACCACATACGTTCTGCGGTGATTCGAAGCTACTCCCCATCTGTTCCATTCCGGACCCTCGCCCTGAACACTAAACCCCAAACCAAAACATGTAAACCCCTAACCCAGAAACCGGAAACCCCTAAACCCCAAACCAAAAAATTGTAAACTCCTGACCCAGAAACCCAAAGCTGCAAGCCCTTGGTAGGTTTCTAAAACTAGGGTCCCTTTTTGGGGTCCTTTTTTTTAATAGGGGTGCTGTACTATATTGGGGACCCAGCCCTAACCCCTAAACCCTAAACCCTAAACCAGAACTACCCAACATGAACTCCAGGATCCCGCGCCAAAGTAGAAAGCCCCGATCCAGAACCAGGTTGCTCTCATCAGCCTGGCTTTTGGCTTTAGTGTGGGGTCCTTAGTCATTAGAATAGGGGTTTGG